AGGGACTTCGCCCTCCGGATGGGGGGCCGGCGGCAGAGTTGCGGGGACTGCCCGAGAACCCAGACTATGACCTTGGGGGGTGGGCGCTGAGGCTTCACCCCCGGAATTCCGATCTGGGGCTCCGGGTCGGCCGGTGCAGGAAGGAGCAGATAGTAACTGCAGCACATCCTGCCTTCCTGTAGCGACTTGCCGAGATATCCCTGATTTTGGTTGGAGACCAAGGCGCCCTGTCTCAGGTGATGAATTACGTTTGTTTAAGCCAAGCCTGGGCGTTCTGTGCCCTTTTGCCTCGTACTTGAAACAGTTTGCCGTTGGCCTTGTAGCCGGGGCCCGCCGTGTGATTCATTTCTGGCTCATGAGACAGAGGTCCTTCTGAGATTTTCTTCACTGGTGACAGGCGGGACACACCTGAAGAAAAGTCCCCCTGACGTAGCTCTCCCTCGTTTTGCTCCTGGAGTTTGAACTTCGTCGTGGTGCCCGGAGCTGTGACAGCCGTCCTGTGACCATGAGGCTCCAAGGGCACAAAGCCACAATGGGCTGAGGTTTTGTGCCCCCCCCGCCCCGCCCGCTCCCTCTTAATTTCCTGTCCTGCTGGAGAATTTAGTGTCTTCCTTGCAGAGGCCACGAGCAGGCGGGTGTTCTGGCCCGGATGAATGCATTCCTGATCGGTATATGTGTTTAAAATGTCTTTTATTCTGAGATAATGTCACACTTAGAGAATTGTATGACAAAGAACTGTGGCTCCTGCCCTGCACCCCAATGAGAGCAGGCCCAGGGGACCCCTGGCCTGGGAATGAGAAATGTGGGCGAACAGAGCCCAACCCGCCACTCAGGACGAAGCTTTTCCAGCTGACCGCAGACCACCGGAGAGAACCGACGTTTGCTGTTTAAGCCGTTCAGGTGGGTGGGCTGTTGGTTACTCAGTGTCACGGTGACAAACCCTGGCTGACACCGACTTACGGTTTCCGAAGTACGGCCTGCCATCTGTTTATAGTATCTCTGCATAGTGTCACCGTTAGCATTTAAACACTCTCCACTTTCAATTACAGTCGACACTGATATCGTTTTATACCAGTTTCCGGCGTCCAGCATAGTGGTTAGACTGGGACAGAATTGACAAAGTGACCCTCCGGGTAGTCCGGGTGCCCCCCACCCCCGCACTGTTGTTACAGTATTACGGCAGTACCGACTATTCTGTTCTACTCCGCACCCCTGTGACTGTTTTGTGACCGCCAACCTGTACCTCTTCACCTTTTTCACCCACTGCTCCTACCCCCTCCCTCTATGTCTCCATCTCCGAGATGAGGAGACTGAGGAGACTCGGGCTCAGAGCGGTTAAGGGACGTGCTCAAGGTTGTTCCAGAGCTACTGAGCCAGAGAGGAGGGATTCGAACCCAGGGCTGGCTGATGGGCAAGTCTGTGCTCCTTCCTTCATCTACGTCTGTGTGCCAAAATCTGGCTGAAAGATGTCATCCTGCCTGAAGGGGCTGCTTTTCGCTTCCTGTGTTTCTGAGTCTGGGAGAGGGCGGGGACCCAGGCTCAGGTCATCAGCGTGTGAATGGGTGGGCGGCGGCTTCCCTAGCCACAGGGATGGCTGCTGGCGGTGGGCCGGCACTGTCTGTCTGGGCTCTGGTGAGCCAGCTGAGTGCGTCAGCGGGGCTGTGCCCGGCCCTCAGCGAGCCAGGCCTGCCTCGGGGTAGGCTGGCCTGCGCTCTGTCCATAGCAGCCCGGGTAGCAGTGGCCGCTGACCCTGCCCTGGTCTGTGGACTTAACTGTGTGCCTCGGGAAAACAAATCCAACGAACACCTCTCTTCAGGAGAAGAAGGATCAATAAGTTAAATAGCAGAATATTTGGATTAGGAAACCCCCGTGAGCTAAGAAGCTCCGAGAAAACCCTCTTAGTGCGATTTGCTGGGGCTGAGCTCGCAGGAGGATCCCTGCCCTGCTGCCCACCTCCGAGGGCAGGGTTCTGGCTGGGATCAGATAAGAGCGGCAGAGTTTATTACCTACGGACTTTATCAGCCGTCTGGGAGTTGGCGAGAGTCTGAGCTGACGAGGCTGGGCTCTGAGGTTGGCCGGAGACACCCCTTGGTTTTCCGCAGTTGGCTCTGCCCGGCTCTTCGGAAAGGTGTGGGAAAGAGCCTGGCGGGGGGGAGGGCAGCCAGAGCTCACGCTGAACCGTTGTCCCCGGCAGACAGGCTGCTGCGGCAGCCCTGCCGGGGAAGGAGGCGGGGATGCTGCTGCGGCTGCCGGCTGCCGGCTGCCTGCTGTTGCTTGGTGTGCCTGAGGTCGCACTGATAGAAGAGCTGGGGTAACAGAGGGGAAGTCTCAGAGTCCTGAGGATCTGGCCTTTCACACATGAACTTCATGCCTCTGAGCCTTTGCCCGTGCTGTTCCTCTGTGCAGCTCCCCCCGCCACCCACCCCAGACAGCCCCCCGCCCCGTCCTTCTCACGCCACCACCTGGCTCACGCACCTTGCTTATTTTTTTGTGCTAGGCAGGGCTTTTTCCGTTGCAGGTGATGAGGGAGACTCAACTCAGACACGGATTAGACAAAGGGTGGTTTCCTGGCTTTTGCAACTGTAGAGACCAGGCTGTGACTGGAGCCAGAGGCTCAGCGCCACCCTTTTTTTCTCCGAATGAGACCGGGTTCCTTGATTGAAGAAGTTCAGCATCGAGAAGACCCAACGGCCACATGTGGCCACGAATGGCAACAACCCAGTGTCATGATCGCTGCACAAGTAGGCAACACAGGGGCCCCCGGAGCACAGGGCCTACCTGGTCAGGGGGGCTCCTGGACAGGGGGGCTCCTGGACAGGTGCAGCTGAGTTAGCGCTAACGCCCCACAGCGGGCAGTGCCCCCTCCACACGGTGACCAAGCTTCGCTCCCTGTGCTCCGGTCTCCGGGCAGCGTTCTGTTCAGGATGTTCCCCACCTGGAACTCTTCTCCTGCGTGTCCTGCGTTCTGTGGAGGAGAAGGCAGTCCTGTAAGATGCCCTCTTCCTTCCTTCTCGGCTCCTGCGCACCCGGCTTCCCTCCCCTCCGTCGCGTCACTTCCACCGGAGCTTCTAGCCTTTTAGTCTCTCTGCACTTGGCTCCTTCCGCTCTTCGTTACGAAGACGGACACAGTCTCTTCCTCCTGGGACCACTCATTCCTTCTGCAGCCTCTCCGGTCCAAACACGCGTCCGCCTTCTGACTCCCCATCGCAGAGCCAGGGCACAGCCGCCTCGAAGGGCAGCCCAGCAAGGATGGGCACAGGTGCGGCCGGAGGAGAGACGGGGGCTCGGAGCCGCCCTAGAGGACCTCTGTGGGTCTCATTATACTTGCCTGTTAAGGCAAAATGTGATGAACCCATTTTGAAGTGAGGGCACGGAGGCGTGCCCAAGATCCCTGTCCCTGGCGGCCATGCTGTTCCTTGTCTCTGTTTTCCCGTCTGTCCACTTAACTGTGCTTCCGACCCAAAGAGGGACTTCTCTCCAGGGAAGACTTCCTTAAATACCTCGCCCAGGTCCACCCCTTGCCATGTCTGTCCCACTTCTGCCCAGCACCTGGAACAGCTGCAGGTTTTTCTGGACGATCCTCAGGTTAAAGTCTGTCTCTGACACTAGACTGTAACCTCGAAGAGGGAGAGGACAACACATATTTTTACACACTTCTGCATTTCCCGTGAACAAAACAGCCTTTGGGACATAATAGGTGCTCAATAAATATTTGCTGAATGAAAGAATAAGGAACTGAAATTCAAACCCCTGTCTCCAAAACCCACGCTGTTTTCTGACCTCATGAGTTGGTGTTCTCGGGACAGGTGGGGATGGGAGGAATTCCCACAAGACCCATCAGGGAAATGACTCTGTGTGTGTGTGTGTGTGTTGGAGGGACACTGGTAGTGGCATGACTCTAGGCTGTCTACAGACAAGGAGGAGCAACAACCCAAGAAGCAGGGGTGGTGAGCGAGGGCAAGATGACTGAAGTCCTAAAGGGCCTTGCAACACCCTGAGGTCTGAGGCTCAGGGGCCATGAGGAGCTCCGAGGGCTCTCTGTTGGGGGGGCTCTCTGTTGGGGGGATGACATGATTGTAGGCACTTTTGACAAGGGTCACTGTGCCCGCCATTGAGTGGAGGGTGGACAGAGGATCACAGCACCAACCCAGGGAAGAGTCACCATAAATGGGGGTGGGGGGGTCCCAGATGGGGACATCAGTGGCAGAGAGGAGTGGCCCAGCTCCAGGACTCCAGGAGACAGGGGGACAGGTGGTGGGTATGATTTTCCAGTTTGGAGCGTAGACATTTGGGCAGATGGCCTTGCCAACTCTGACAAACAGAAAGGTAGGGGGAAGGGTGGAAAGGGAGGGGCTGTTGAAGGCTGAGTGCGTAGAGCCTGAGAGCTGGGTCAGGTGTTGCTGGGGGTGGGGGTGGGCAGGCGGGTCTGATTCGGAGGGGTGAGAATCCAGCCCCCCCATCTAGGCCCCACAGGAGGTCTCAGACGGAACCTTGCAGCAAGCTGAGGCCTCCTCCACTTCTCTCCAGCTGCCTTCCGCTGAGCTTAACACCAGCCAGAGACCTGGAGGTTCACAGACAGAACTTTCCAGCTGGGGAGGCGTGGTGAGATCCTGGAACACCTTCCTGGTGTTTTCCCACCATTAAAAAAAGTAATTTAGGCTTTGGGCCATCCATTCGAGTCTGTTCCCTCTTCTGCCAAGCGCTGAGGCGCTAGGACGCCGGCCTCCCCAGGCCGCGACAGCCCCGCTGGGAGGGTCTCGGCGCTGGGGGCTCCCTTCCTCTTCCTTGCGCCTCCCGGGTCCTTGGCAATTATCCCCCAAAGGACGAATGGCTCCAGGGTGGGCATGGCGGTGGGGAAGCGGACTCTCGCCAGAGGTCAGGGGAAGCCCCCGAATCTTAGGAGGAGAGTGTGGAGGGGAGTGAGGGAGAGCTTCCCGGGCGCCACGCCTCGTGTGCGGGCGGGGGCGGGGCGGCGGAACGGGGCAGGTGGGCCTTCTCTGCTGGGCTTCCCCGAGCGCTTCCACCCCCCGGAGGGGTGGGCATCATTACTTCTTTTTGTGGATGAGGAAACCAAGGCCCACGGTGGTCAGGTTAAGACTCAAGGTCGCACAGCCAGGAAATCAAGTTCGAATCGGGACCCAGGTCTGTGAGAAATCCGAAGTCGTCCCCTTTCCCCTACAAGCGCTCTCCCCGCGTCTAGAAGCCAGTGCCTCCCCCGACTCCCCAATCCTCCGAATCCTCCCCTCTTTCCTATTCCCCAAACACCGCCAGGGCCGGGGCCAGGGCCAGGGGGCTGGGCCGGGACCTCTTTATTTTGCTGGGGCGTGTTCTCCGCGGCTCGCCGCACGAATCTGCCACCGGAGTCCCACTAGGACCTGCGGTTCGTCCACAGACCCGGGCGGACAGGGACAGCGCCCAGGCACCGGTGGGGCGGGTGCGCTGGAGAGCCGGGAGCGCGGAGGCGCGTGGGCTGGAGCGCAGGTCCCCGGAGCAGCCCGGGACCCAGGCGGCGCTCGCCCCGTGCCTGCCGCTCCCGGCCCCCGCCCCCTCGGTGGTGGCTGGCTCTTCGCTTCTCAGGCTCGGAACCCGACACAGTCTCCGCTGCTTCCCGGCGCCGCCGCGCGCTGCGGACTCCCAGAAACAGCCCCGCGGGCCCCCGCCGCCTGTCCCCCGCGCTGGCCCTGAAGGGGCGCAACGCCGTCACCAACCCGGAGGTGCCACCAGCCCGAGGCGAGAGGGGTCCCCGCGCGATCCGGGACCCTGTCGCAGCTCATGGTGAGCGTCCCCCAGGGTTTGAGGATCCCTTAGCCGCGGGTACCCTCGCGCTAGCCCCGGGTGCCGGATGGGGTCGCCTGGGGGACACAGGGCTGAAGTTGGGAGCGCGCGCAGCTCACCCCTGCTGCGGAGTCCGACATGCTGCTGCCGGGGAGCAATAGCACCGCGTGGTTCGGGCAGCAGCAGCCAGCTCCGGGAGGCGCCCTGCGGGGCTCGGGGGCGGCGGCACCGCTGAGGCCCGCGCAGGTGGTCACCGCCTGCCTCCTGACCCTGCTCATCGTCTGGACCCTGCTGGGCAACGTGCTGGTGTGCGCGGCCATCGTGCGCAGTCGCCACTTGCGCGCCAAGATGACCAACGTTTTTATCGTGTCTCTGGCGCTGTCCGACCTCTTCGTAGCGCTGCTGGTCATGCCCTGGAAGGCTGTCACTGAGGTGGCCGGTCACTGGCCCTTTGGGGCCTTCTGCAACGTCTGGGTGGCCTTTGACATCATGTGCTCCACCGCCTCCATCCTGAACCTGTGTGTGATCAGCGTGGACCGCTACTGGGCCATCTCTAGGCCCTTCCACTACCAGCGCAGAATGACCCAGCGCGTGGCCTTGGTCATGGTCAGCCTGGTCTGGACCCTGTCCATCCTCATCTCCTTCATCCCAGTTCAGCTTCACTGGCACAAAGTCAAGACAGGCTCCTGGGGTGAGGTGGACCCGCCATCCCACCTGGCCAACGGGACGCCCTGGGAGGAAGCGGGGGAGCAGGAGGTGCAGGCAGAGAACTGTGACGCCAGCCTGAACCAGACTTACGCAATCTCCTCATCGCTCATCAGCTTCTACATCCCCGTGGCCATTATGATCGCGACCTACACACGCATCTACCGCATCGCCCAGGTGCAGATCCGCAGGATTTCCTCCCTGGAGCGGGCCGCGGAGCACGCGCAGAACTGCCGGAGCCACGCGACCAGTACGCCCGGTGCCAGCCTGCGGGTATCTATCAACGCGGAGACCAAGGTCCTTAAGACCCTGTCGGTGATCATGGGGGTCTTCGTGTGCTGCTGGCTGCCCTTCTTCATCCTGAACTGCCTGGTCCCCTTCTGCAGAGGACACTCGGAGGGCCCTCTGTTGAGCTTCCCCTGCGTCAGCGAGACCACCTTCGACGTCTTCGTCTGGTTGGGCTGGGCCAACTCCTCCCTCAACCCCATCATCTACGCCTTCAACACTGACTTCCGGGAGGTGTTTGCCCGGCTTCTGGGGTGCAGCCACCTCTGCTCCCGCACCCAGGTGGAGACGGTGAACCTCAGCATGGAGTTGATCTCCTCCAACCAGGACACCGTCGCCCACAAGGAGATGGCAGCTGCCCACAGCCACGTGATCCCCCATGCCGTGACCCTGGGGGACAGGGAGGTGGGCGAGGATGAGGAGGGCCCTCTTGATCCCACGGCCCAGATCTCTCAGGCGCACCCAGATGGTGACCCTGCAGCCAAGTCTGCCTGGGAGCTGGACTGCCCGGGGAGATTTCATTGGGCAAAGTAATGCCTTTTACCCCAAGTGGATTCCATTAAACTACATAAGAAATGCCCTTCGTGGATCCACAGAACCGCACCAACAGTGGGAAGCACTCGGAACACGGCCCTGGCCAGACGGCTCGGCCGGTTAGAGCGCCGTCCGATGGGCCTGGGCCAGGGCGGCAGGTCCCATTCGGTCAGGGCACGCACAGGAATGAGCCAAGAATGCACACGTGTGTGGAGCAGCAAAGCGACACTTCTCTCTCGCAAGTCAATTTAAAAAACGGTTAAAAAAAAGAAGCGTGTGGAGCACACACACATGTGTCCCGTGTTGCTCAGTGTGTCATCTTTCCTCCCCCCACCTGGTGTCGGAGGTTTTGTGCTTAGAAACCTCCCCTGATTGGTTTGCAGCTGAAGGACTTGGCAGGCGCAGCTGGTAAGAACTCAGGCACATATACCTCAGTCTGCCTGTTGCGGACCGATGGTCCTTTTAGGGGCAGTGTTTGGTTCTTAAAAAAAGAAAGAAGAGTGGGACTTGGTCTTTAAAAAATATACTCCTCTATGCCCTTTTAGGCAAACGGACGGCTTTTTCAGGGACGGGTTCAGGGTGCAGTGCTGATGGGGCGTGCCGCTGTCCCCATCTCGCTCCCTGCGGCCTGCGTTTACGTGGCGTCCGCTCTGCGTGCCTTGCCCACAGCTGAGGAATTCTTCCTGACTCGTTCTGGAGTGTAATAAACACAAATTATGTGTGCAGTGCGGTGGTTATCTCTGCTTTGCCAGGCCGGCTTTTAGGCTGACTGTTGGAGAAATCATGAAGCATGATCCTTTCGAGGCTGGGAAGGTGCCCTGGAAACACACGTTTATTCTCTTGACAGACAGCTGGGCCTTTAAGGTGCACTCTGGGCCGGGGGACCTTGAAGAGCATCCGCTGTTTCTGAATGTTTTTTTATTGGGTACATACGTCTTGAGTCTCTGTCGAAAGCGGCTTCAGTGCTGTGGCATCAAACGTGGCCGGGTCCAGCCTGGGCTTCAAGTATTTTTTTTCTGGCTTGGCAGCTTCTTTTTAAAATAATATAGCGCAGAACAATTCTTTGATTCCCACGCAGTTTCCGTCAGTTCCGTGAGAAGATCATTTGGAATAATAACAAGACCTTTCTCAACCTCGTCTGCAGTGCTTTTGAGTCACGTGGCTTTTAATTAACCTCGCTTTCTGAAGGACTTGGACATGTGTGTGCTGATAAGCTTTGAGAAACGAAACCCATTTCCATACTGGAACTTTTGTTTGTAGACAGTGAGAAATGAGGGGATGCATTTTAACTAGAATGTAGGAGGTAGAGATGACAAGTGAGTGAACTTAACATTGGAGACTCTGTTGAGTGAGGTGCTCCCCAAAGCGCCCAGCAAGTTCCAGTCATTGCCCTCGTCCTCTCTGTAGTCTGCACAGAGCGGGGCACCTTGCCCCAGAACCACACCCGCTGAGCATGGCTCACGACCATCGCACCTAAGAGTGAGCACTGTTCATGGAAGCGGATGAAATGTCGGCCGTGGAATTTCTGACAGTCAGCCCCTGCTTTGGAGCAGGCTCATCAAGGGCAGTTTGATCACTCTGGCTCTCTTTTGGGATAATTTTATTGCCGGGCTCTTGAGCAGCCGTGTCCTGTTCACTGGGAAATGCACGGAGCCCAGCCCCTAGTGCTTAACAAGTATCTGTTGAGTGAACAGCTGACCGTTTCTTGAATGGGGAAATTGAAAGCAAACCCCACTTGGTACCTTAGTTTCTGTAAATGACTCGGTCAGGCTGATGGGGAAATCTGAGGTCTGTGTTCAGTGTTTGACCTCTTGTGACCCGATAGCTGAGTGGACCATTAGGGAAACACAGGGCCAGTGACCAGCGCCCCGCTCCACGTTTCAGGAAATGGCTGTGTGACCTTGAATGACTCAGTCAGCCTCTCTGGGCCTGCCTGCCTCTGCAAACTGAAAGACTGACCCTGTGCATTTCCCCCCTTGTGCTTCACTCTGCAGCTGGTAAGGACGGGTCTCGGGTGGCGCAGCAAGCATGGTGGCTGTTTTCTCCACCGGGCTTCTCGGAGCTTTTCCTTCGCATTGTAAAACCGCAAACAATTCTGCATTGTTTCCCCGATGGCTTTGACCTTGTGAATCCTTGTTAAAGGTGGACTTCCTTCTTCCTGGCTCTCAGGAGGCCATCATGTCAGGAACACAGCCTGAGAAATCCCTATCGATCAGGAAGTCTCTAAAGTACAGCTATTCTAGCAAGGCTGTGAGAAGCAAAGTCTTTCGTGGGAATGTTCTAGACCCCGGTTCAACTAATTTCTGTGTCAGGAAAGATGGGTTGTGCGAGGACTTTGGAAACCCCTTCTGCAAAATACCATCCTGCATGGTTACTGACAGCTACTGCGTGCTGGGCGCTCGTCACGTGCTCCGGTGTGTTGGGACTTCTCTTTTCGTGGGTAGACAAGCAGGTGCTGTGCCATGAGTCTGGGGTGTCACGTCAGGTGGTGACAACTGAGCACCGCTGGCCCTGGAATAAACCCGGGGCCACACCTGGGCGAGTGCAGTGATGAAGCCACTATCTATTTAGGGTGGTCCAGGAGGGCCTCTCAGACGGGGCGTGTTGAAGAGAGACCCAGATGAAGAAGCAAGAGTGGGAGCAGAGCTGGTGTCCAGGCAGAGGGAACGGTGTGTGCCAAGGCCTGGGGCGGGACTGGGTTTGGCATGCCCGGGGGGACGGGGACAAAGGTGGCCTGTGTGGCTGGAGGGCGTTGTGAGGTTGGCGCTGAGACTGCAGGCTCTCCGCAGACCCCTCCTGCGCTGGGTGCTGCTTCCGCGCCAGGTCGCTTAGGTTCGCAGACCTGAACAGACCTGGGTACAGGCACTCTGATCGCCCCATCTCACAAGGGGAGGAAACGAAGGCACCAGGGGCTCAGTCACTAACCTGGGGTCACAGAGCTCATGAGTGGCCGAGCTGGACTTGAACCGGGGCAGCCTGGCCATGGAGTCTTCAACTGCCCAGCAGTGGTGGAGATGGGGGCTTCCTGGCACCCCCAGACAGCAAGTGCAGCGTGCCTGGGCCGGAATGTTCCTCGTTCGAGGGGTAGCTAGCTGGTTGCTGCGGCTTCTACCCACCGGGGAGCCTGCCTTCTCTGCGCACCTGTGCCGGACATCCCTTCATGGGGAGCGCAGGCAGCAGAGGGCAGCGGGTGAGAGCCCGTGTCCTGAGCCCTTCCGTGGTGGCCAAGCACTGCCCTGATTCTTGTGTCCGCACGTCAACCTCAGGTGCCATTATTTTTCCATTTTGCAGATGAGGACAGTGGGGTTCAGAGAGGGTAGGTGGCTTGTCCAATGTCACATCGCTAGGCAGTGGTGGGAGCAGGGTTTACACCTGGGCCGGTGGTTCTCAGTTGGGGTGATTTTGGCCCCCAGGGGACAGTTGGCCATTTGGGGTTGTCACAACCGGGTGTAGGACGCTCCTGCCACCTAGTGAGTAGTGGCTGGGGGTGCTGCCAGACGTCCCATGGTGACCTGAGATGGCTCGAGCCAGGCCGACAGAGTCCGGGCCCCCGCTGCCTGTCCACAAAGCCACAGTGCCCAGGCTTTGGGACTTCACAGCCCTGAAAGTGAAAACCACGACCAGGTCCCACCTCATGCCTGTTGACTTGCGGATGACCCGCCAGGCCATCAGTAACTGGACAAGCAAGTGCTGGCGAGGACGTGGAGAAAGGGGACCCTTGTGCACTGTTGGTGGAAATGCAGACCAGGGCAGCCACTGTGGAGAGCAGTGTGGCGTTAACCTCAGAAAAATTAAACGTGAAACTGCCTTTTGATGCAGTGATTCCACTTCTGGAAATACATCTGCAAAATCCCAAAACACTAATTGGAAAGAACGCGTGCATCCCTCTGTTCGTCGCAGCATTTACAAAGCCAAGGTGTGGATGCAGCCCAAGTGTCCGTCAGCGGATGAGTGGACAAGAAAGCCGTGGTGTGTTTACACAGTGGAATATGACTCGGCCGTAAAAAAGAAGGGACGCTCACCCTTTGTGGCAGCGTGGACGGACGTGGAGAACGTTACGCTGAGTGAAGAAAGCCAGACAGATAAGACAAGTGCCATGTGATTTCACTTATATGTGAAATCTAATGAACAAAATGAACTAACAAGCAAAATAGAGACAGACTCATGGATAGAGAGCAGGCTGGCCACTGTTGAGGAGGGTGGTGGTGTGGAAGGATTGAGCAAAGAGAAAAAAAAGAAGGAATTCATGGACACAGACAAGAGTGTGGTATTTGCTGAGGGGGTGGGGGAGGAGGAGGAGGGTGGGGAGGGATAGATGGTGGTGCACAGAGACTTGACCTGAGGGAGCGAACACAGTGTACGGACACGTGTTGTGGGATTGTGCACCTGAAACCTGCGTGACTCTGGGAACCAGTAAGAAACACACTGCACAGCCCTGAGTTCACAGCTCAACCCTCCCACCCCCTGGAGTTGGTGGAATTTGGCCGCCGCTCTTGCTGCAGTTTCTTCAGCTGAGATGCACACCCCAACCCCACAGGTTTGGGTAAAGATTAAAAATGAATGTAACACTGAGGTCATTTTTGTGTCATTCTCTTTTATTCTTTTCCCTTTCTTTTTTTTTTTTCATTTTCTTTTAAAAGGACTCTGGTCTGACACATTTGAAGAAGGCTTTGGGGGTCCCTGAGCTCGGGTAGAATAACATTGTCCTGGAGGCTAACGGCTGTGACAGCCGAGACGTGTCTCATCCCTGCTGTCCTCTCGGCCTTGAGCAGGGGTGTCTGGCACGGAGTAGGTGCTCACTAAATGTCAGTCTCTCCACCTTGATGTGCTACACACGCACACAGTCTCACACACACACCTTGTAGGTGCTGCCATTGAGCGAACGCATCCCGGGGTCGGGGTTGCCCACTGGCAGGGTTGGCGGTGGGGTGGTCCTCACAGTGGTCTGACCAAAGCCTGCAGGGCTGAGAGCCACACAGGAAGTGTGACCATCACTGAGCACACGCAACTGCTCTGTTACACCCAGCAAAGTGTGTCCACAGATTCCCCAGAGCTCACAGCGCCCACGAGGACCTTCCAGGCCGTCTGGTGAGGAGAAGAGGCAGCTGACCCTGGGCGGGATCCAGAGACTCAGCCACGTCTCTGAGCCAGAGAGAGTTACCCTGAACTTGGAGGTGGCCTTCGCTCCTGCACCCTCTCCACCACACAGGGCCTAGAAGAGGTGTGACAACCGGTGAGCAGGGAAGTGCTTCCTCACACCTGGGTCCCACTCTCCTCGTCTATTCCTGGCTCTGTGTGAAGGCAGGAACGACCTGTCCCCACCTGGAGAAGGCCCAGGCCTGGTTGGGGAGGAGTGGAGTGGCAATGAAAAAATGACCCTTTGTCGCTGGGGAAGAGCAAGGACCCCTTGGCTGTGTCCACCTCTTGGAGGTCTCCCACATGGTCCCACCAGCATGGTGGCCTCAGGGCAGGTGGGCTTCTTACACAGTGGCTCAGAGCGCACAGATATGTACCCCGAGACTGGGAGGGCCAGGTGGGCGCCGAGTCTGCTCTAGGACTTGGCTTCCACGAACCACAGGGACTCAGGGACCCCTGAGTCCAGCAGGGACCTGGGTGGGTCCCTGAGGCCAGACCTTGCTCAAGGGGATGGAAGTCGACCTCAGCTTCTTGATGGGAAGGGTGTCTAGGACTTTGCAGAAGAGATGTTTTACAGTTTCTGTTTATTAAAAAGTTACTTGGACATAATTTCAGACTCAGAGAAAACTTGTAAAACATTACAAAAGAATTCTTAAATACCCTTGATTCAGGTCTCCAAAACATTAACATTTTACTAAGTTATTTGTTCTCTCTCCATTTAAGACATGAGGCCCATTTACCCCTGAATACTTCACACTTCAGAACACGTTTGCCTCCAGGTAAGGGATTTTCTTATCCAACCCACAGGCCTTATTCAGACGCCACTATCAAGTCCTTTGTAACAAAATAACCCAAGAGCACGGGTTGGCTTTAGCTGTTCCATGTCTTTGGGGGCACCCTGAGTACGAAACGGTTTCTGCCTGCCTTTTGTGGCGTGACTTTTGTGAAGCCCACCCAGCCAGGTACCAGGTAGACTGTCCCTGATTTGGATTTGTCCTGTGTTTCCTCCTGGGGACACTCTGGCCCTCGCTTTGGGTGGGCGCACCTGGGAAGCGATGCCGAGTCCCTCTCTGGGCGGTGTGCCAGGGTGTCCATGATTAACAGTGGAAACTTTGGCCTCGGGGTTATGGTGGTGTCCCCTGGAAAGTTACTATTTTACCCTGTCTAATTAATAAGTGTCCTTTGGAGAGATGCTTTGAGGCTATGACGATGTCTTATTATTCCTTAAACCTTCTGTCATTGGTTTTAACATCTATTAAGGGTCCTTCCCTGGATTGATTCTTACTGTGGTTGCCAAATGGTGTTTTTAAAAAATTCCACCATGTTTTTATTGCTGGTTTTCTACTGTGAGGATGGGCATTTATTTATTTATTTATTTATTTAACAGCAGCGTAGACTCTCAGATCCCTAATTTTTCCAGTAGGTTATCACCCTTTACCCTCCATATTTATCACGATGCCCAATTGGTCCCTGGTTCAGCCAGTGGGGATGGGCTCCCGTATCCTTCCTGTGGCTCTCATTATCCTTTGAGCAGTTTGCTATTTTCTTTGGTCACAAAACACTCCAGACTCACCTTGCATATCCCTTGCCTGAGCCCTCTCAGCAGAGAAGGGTACAGAGAAACTCTGACCCGGGCATGACAGTGTCACCGTTACTGAGCTGATGTGGCTTCCAGGTCCGCTCAGGGGACAGAGCTGGGACACGAAGGTACTCAGAGGAGTATATATTATATATTATTATGTATGTCTATGGGCATATATATTAAATATGCATATAATACATGCACATTCCCACCAGCACCTGCTTTGTGCTCCTATGTGTAGCTCTATATGGATGTTAAGTCCCACGGGCTTGTATCATTCCAATACTTTGTGGACATATTTTAAAATAATTACCCCTGGTTCAAATCCGGACCCCCTTAATGTCTTAGTTCATGAGACCTGGAAGTTGAAGAAATTAAGTTACCTGCCGAGGTTTTTCCCCCACCCCGTGTTAAGTCAGTAACTTGCTGGCAGTGCGGTTTGTCGGCAGGGTCACGGGACCTGACACAAGTGGCCCATGGAAAGCCACACACACCGTGAGAATTCGGACACTGTCCCATCTCTAAGCTCCGTGAGCGCATCCCTGCGACCTGAGAGCTCAGGGCAGGACCTGTGTGCATCCAGGCAGCTCAGGGACCAAGATCTGGGACAGCGAGAGAGAGAATCAGCAGTGAACCCGATGTGGCCACACCTGGCACAGGAAGGGACGGCGAGATCCAAGCGCGATAAGGAGACGAAGCTGGAGAGCAGGGCCGGTGAGGGTCCGACGGGACCCGGGAGCTCCAGGCCGACTTGAGAGGCCCTCAGAGGACGAGACTGTCCCCACTCACACATGCGGACAGAGCTGGATCCGAAGTGCAAGGAGGGTTTTAGGGGTCTCGGGTGGGGACAAGTGTATTTTGCACGTAGGAGGGATGTGGACTGTTGGGGACCAGAGGACAGACGGGAGGCGGCCTCCCGGTCTCCACTCCACGTCACTGCCTCCACTGGAGTGTGGGCTGAACCTGGTGGCTGGCTTCTGGTAACAGAACAGGGCCCAGTGGAGGAATGCCCGCTCTGACCTTAGGTCTCGCCAGGACTGTTCTGCCATCTCTCCCACTCTGTCTTGCCCGCTCTTTCTGGTTCTGATGGAAGCCGGTGGCCATGTGGGAAGCAGTCCCGTTAGGCGGGGCCTGTGGCCAGAAGCTACAGGAGGCCTCTGGCCGACAGGCGTCAGGACCTGCCAGCAGCCACGGGGCGAGCTTGGAAGTGAAGCCTCCCCGGGCTGAGTCTTCGCATGAGCCTGCAGCCCGGGCCGACACCCCGACGGCAGCCTGTGAGACACTGTGAACCAGCAGCCCCAGCCAAGCCCTGCGGGGCCTCATCACCCGCAGAAACGATGGGATACATTTCTCGCTGTTTTAAGCTGCTAAATATTGAGCCACTTTGCTACTGAGGAACAGATTCTGAGAGAGAAGAAAAAGGAGAACAGTAGGGGGTGGAGAGGGGGTGCCCCCTGTCTTTGGCACCCATTTCCAGAGGCGATCGCTTGCGCCAAAAGGCTCACATCTGATGGTTCTTCCATGTAACTGTGTTAATGGCCTTTGTGCTCCCCCCACGATGGCTCCTGTTACGATGATGATGATGATGGAACGTTGTTTACTCGCTTCTGGATTAAGTACAGATTCTGAGGACCTTGATTAATTCTGATTGAAAGCAGTGTGGGGAATGGTAATTTACAACTGACCACTGTTGGTTCTTAGGGAGACAAATAGCATTTCAAAGGCCTGTTTTGTGTTTGTGTTTGTAGCTCATGAAGGTTCGTGAAGTCTTTTCTGTGTGAAGTGGCAGGAAGCCCTTTTCAAAGAAGAGCTGAGGGAGGGGAAGGAGGCTTTAAAAATGAACTGAAAACAAACCCAAGGGTGCTGGGCCTTCACTGCTGCAAACTCCTCCGGCCGGGAGGGGGGCTGTGAAAATAAAATGGAGAATTTAAGCAACTTCCGGTAAAATGGTTTGGACCTTTGAGCCACAGAGAAAGAGCGTTGGCTCAGGAAGCAAGAATCTGGGTCTGAGTCCCAGGTGTGTGATTTGAAGAGAATGATCCGACATTTCTGAGTTCTCTCCTCTCCTCTGACAACGGAAACCACTGGGGTCATTATTAATGTGAAAAGTACTTATTGCTACAATGTGCCCCTACCAGAGGCCACGCTCGGTCCTGCACTCGGGTCTCGCTGATCCTTGGGGTCGGAGCGAGTCTCCCCCCCCCCCCCCGTGGGCCGGGGACGGTACTGTGGGCTGGTGTTTGGTGGTGGTGGAGGGGGACGGTGCTTCTTCAGGCTCCTGTTTGCACCCGTGCACGTGGGCCATGCAGACAGGTGTATGAGGTGGGGACCAGAGCGGAGGTCGGATCTGCCTCCCCTCAACCCCAGATAACGGCCAACACCGATGGGCTGGGCATTGGGCCGAAGGGTTTCTGGGTAGAAACCCATCAGTCCTCCCCTCAGTTCCGAGGTACGGCTGCTTCCTCGTCCCTGCCGTGCAGAGCAGCAAGGGCACCGGCTTCTCCACCAGGTGCAGGCAGAAGTGCAGACCCCCAGGGGGAGGCGCATAGACTCAGGGTCTTCCTGTTTGGCGAGCTGCGGGCCGACCTCGCTCCCCGACACTCCAGTGTCCCCTCTATGCTGAGTCACTCTCAGTCTCCCAAGGGCTCCCCTGCACCTGTTTTGCTTCATTTGCACTTTTCTGGGCTCAGTGTGTGTCAGAAATGGCCTCGCTGAGAGCCGGACAACGGGTCTCTCCGATGGTTGGGTGGAGGGAGCGACGGGAAAAGACCTTTGCATGCCCATGGGAGGGGCGGCAGCCTGAGTTCCTGATCCCAAAGGCCACAGGAAGGGATTTCCCACCAGCAATG